GGAACGGGGACACTTTACGTCAACGAGGCCATTTGTTCCAAGTAGTATATCAGGGAATGCTGCTAGAAATCCGTCCCTCCTATTAACGAATAAGCCGCACTTCTGCACTGTGCAGTTTTCCTGTTCCACGTACAGTTGTAAAGCAGCATCCTCATTGATTCTACCATATTATGTTGCGAGTGAAGAAAGTCTTTGGGTACACGATACTGGAAACAAGTCTGGCACTGTACGTTGTGGTTCTACACCCACTAATGTCGTCCTCCTTATAGAGCCTCATCATGTGATCATTACCTCGTCACCTCATATTGCTCTTCATCAACAGTAAGTACAATAGGCTACCGCCATATTACAATCCAAGAATTGAAAAATTGAGTCGTTCAGTCCTTCAACAAGTTTATTATTTATATAATGCTATTACGTTACATTACCTCGAGACGATCGACGTCCATCGTCGATCTTCAACTACTTATACCTGTATATAAATTAGACGCACAAGGGGGGGGGGGGGGGGGGTCGGGTCGGTGGCCAAGTGCATGGTTTAGCGCACACCAGCTCGGAGCACTTGGAGCGAAAGCTCGCGCTGCAGAAGCCACCCCGCCCCTGCCCGTTTCGATTTGGAAGAGCATCGTACCGGCGTGCGGTCGTGTATCACTACTGCGTGGTGCACGTTAAAGACCCCAGGTTTGCGGTTGTACCGCACTGGCTAAATTCCTCATCTACAGCTGAGAGTCAGACGCCCACTAAGGCGGACTAACTTCCGGCTCTATAAACATACACACAACAATTTGCAATTAGACGCATAATAACAAAGAGCACAGCCTGCCGCCTCTTTTCTTTGGATGCCTTTTTTTTAAACCAGCGCAAGCTCGCGCGTTCTCTCTTTTGAGACGGTTAGAACGGTCACACATAAAATCCGCGTTTCTCCTACCCGGCCGCTTCCTCCTCTCATTATATGTAGTTGGTTATAACTAAATACGCGATAATAATGGTGTATTATTCATATTTACTTTCAGTTTCAGTCAGGGAAAAGGAGTTTCGCGGGAACTAGAGCAAATAAATTAGCTGCGCTTAAAGTATCGGCACTCCCTTCCCCGACAGTGTTGTGAACGCCGCCATTTTGGTGCTTGTGCAGAGCAGGCGCAACTGCCGATCGTCATGATTCAGAAGTGCGACATCCTCAGCATTAGATTCGGTGTTAGGAAGCTCATATAATGTTGCTTTGCTTTGTCGCACACTGTTTAAAGTGGAGGACGGAAAAGCGTTTCTTGTGATTTCAGATAAAGCTTCAAATAACCGGCAACCATGATTTTTAGCCACAATGTGGCCAAGTGTCGCTACTCTGACGCGTAGCTTATTTAATGAAACTATTCATGCTCTTGTTCAAGAGGCTTGTAATACCTGGAGGGGCCATGACGTAAGCCCCGTCGATTCCACGAGCCACTACCTTTTGACACCTGCCTCTTCCTCATTGTTCCCGCTTGTGCCAGTAAATTAGCTACGGTTCAGAGTAACGACACTTGGCCATATTGTGGCTTAAAATCATGGTTGCCAGTTACCTGAAGCTTTATCTAAAGTCACAGGAAACGCTTTCCGTCCCCCACAAATGTTTAAACAACCCGCGACAGAGCATTGTAATATTGCATCAGCTTCCTAGCACCGCATCTAATGCTGAGGAAGTCGTACTTTTGGATCATGACGATCGGCAGTTGCGTTTGCTCTGAACAAGACCCAAAATGGCGGCGCCCAAAACAATTTTGGGGAACGGAGTGCCGATACTTTAAAGCTCATTTACTGACTCTAGGCATGTATTATTTTCCTCTTCGTCTTTATTGTTTATTGATTTCAATCATATCGAATAATGAACACATCATATTACGCTACGCGTGTGTAATTATTTGTCTTAGATTTATTAACCTGACCCAGTACTTAAACCATTCATTTATCGATAGTAAATCTTCCAATATATTTTTAAATGTGACGGTAAAAAGACACGGAGATTGATGATGATACAGACGCCAACGCCGCCCTCGGAAATTTTTTGAACACTAGAAATCAGCAATTTGTCTGCCATCCGCCAGGTAGCGCTACAAAACACCCAAACAGTTTTTAATTGTTTTTTTTTTAAATTAGCTAAGTTCTACACCTATTAAGAAACCAAAGCAAGATCATTGTGAAAATTTAATACATCGCAATGTATATCTATTCCAAACAATAAATGTTATTAGATGCCAATAAATCTCTTTGATGTCCAAAAAGATATGCGTCAAAAACAGGTAAGTTTGAAAGGCTCCTGAAGCGTTATGACTTTGAAAATGAAAAAAAAAAAAAGCCATCGTCCACCTCTTGGGCAACCATTGTAGCTCTAAATGTTATAAAAGATTTTATCATAGTTTAATTATTTCCTCAGCGGCAATTGCAGTGCCATGACTCGAAGCACAAAAAAGTGCTACGTTTGATATAAAGTATCTAAACAAAAAAAATTTACAGAACATTAATTTTTTTTCTCTGCATATTACCAATTATAAGCACTACATCTGCAGCTAATTTCATTGCCTTAGCGCTTGTCATTAAAACATATTTGTGCTGAAAAATGTCAATTTTAGGGCAATATTTGGAGGGATGAAAAAAAGCAAAGTAGTGCAAATACCAAAAAAGTGCATCGTTACATTCAGCTCCGACATCATCTTAACAAAACTGCTATATTGGAACCGTGCTATCTTTAATGGATCGTTCATAAAACATGAACTAGTGCAGCAAGTGGGGGTCCGCGCCATCATATTCGCAACGCTACAAACGCGCATGAACAGTAAAAACCAACATATACATAATATCAAATGAAAGAGGACTGGATTACCTTTCGAATGACATCAATTCCACAAAACAGTATTTAAAAGGAGATGAGTAATGACCTGCCAAAAAGTACCTAAACTGCCACATTCAGTGGGACCGTGGCCTTAAAGGGTATCTTACGATAGACACTCAAGTGTGGAAGCAGTACGATCAATAGTGTTAAAGTAAGATAAATCATTTTATTACATTTTTGTGATCAGAAAAATAACAAAAAGATTCGGCATTATATTTTTATTAAAGATAAACACTTTCAGTTAAGCAATATGAATTCAGACTGAAGCCATATCAAATCACTGTAAATGTATTGTTCTGTTACGCTGTTTCCTTTAATTTCATAACTATGCATTTGGATAATTGAAGTGACTTGTCTGATACGCTCACAGGTCGCTTTTTGCTCTGGTGGACCAGATTCCTCAATGACGAATTATCAAAAGCAATGATTCTTTTATTAATATTTTTATTTAAATGAATGTCCTTAGAATAACCTCTTCACATTTACGCTAGTAGCAAAAAATATATAGACACATTTTTTTTCCGTACGTATACGTTTCTCTGTCGCACAAGGTGTAAAAACAGGACGTTTTAGCACGGTACAGGTCGAAATCCCTGTTACTTTTGTTCTCGAAAACGTACCGTTTCGCAGCGCAGCAGTAGTCGAAGAGACATTTAAATCTAGCCACAGTGCGAATTACGGCTTTTGCTTGCAGGAATGGCTGAGGTGTACCGACAAGGAATGAATTAACAAACTTTCAGTCAGATTAGCGATGAAGCAATTTAGGTGTTCAGTTCCACCTTCGTGCAATTTTTGCTGAGCTTGGCCTTGCCTTCAGTTGCAATAGGAGGCAAACATTTACAAACCTAACGGTAATTTTAAGAAAAGCGTACCATAATAATTTAGCTTTTTTTTTTCCCTGTAGATAATGGCCACTTAGAGGTCGCTAGATACACCCACCTTCTCGACAGATTCCCCATGGAGACAAATGCACATGAACTACCTGTGTCGCGGCCATTCCATGCCCTGCTGTCAGCTCTTTTTGGAGGAGCATCACACCCACGCCTGGATATCTGCTTTCAGCTCATCCATGACTGCGAAATGGCTTCCTCGCCCGGCTTCTTTTATGGCCCCGGAAAGGTAATAACAAGGGGCCAGATGACCCACACATGGGTCAAATAACGTCTCACATGTCGGAGGACACGTCAGAAACATGACCTAACCCGACCAGAACCATCCAATTACTGTCTCACGTGTATGCACGCGACTCTACAATTAACCAGCGACTGGTCATGTTAGGTTATCTTTCCGACGCCTAGTACGAAATGTCGGGCATGCTGGCGTGCATGTATATGGGCCTTTCTGAACCCCAAAGGTGTTATCACCTCTTCGGGTTCATAAACAGACACCTGCGATAAAAGCATTTCGCAATCATTGATGAGCTGAAATCAGATGTCCAAACGCGGATATGCCACACATCTATAAAGTGGTTACAGAGGGCATGGAAAGGCTGCGACACACGTGGTGCAAATGCATTTGGTTCGTGGGAAGTCTGTCGAGAAGGTGAAAATATATCTAGAGACTTCTCGTGGCCTATATCTGCAGCAAAAAAATAAATGAAATGTACACCAATATGGCACGCCCCTTTTATTACTCGATGCCTACGCATACCCATATGACGTCCATATGACCATATGACGCCATATACATTTTTTTACCCACACGTACTGTCAGATCAGCAATCTAGAGTGATTCGGACAGGCACAGCGCAGCGTCCCTGTCGAATCACTGCACCGTGGCTTGTGCAATACGCCCAATGGCGATGCCTAGGCAAAATGCTCAGATAATGCATTGTAATGTTGTAATATTTCTGAGCAGGGACAGTATTCGACGAGGCCAGACCCAAATTAATGACAGACAACTCACACGTCTTCCGAATTGTATGCCCTCCTATTTTCTAGTTTCACCTCAAAGTTGTTCAGTTCGTCAGGAGACATTGTTCCCATAGATGCACAGGAACCAAAGAAGTCCAGGTTTGGATGCATTACGCGAGTTGTGGTCGCTTGGTGCTTCGCAAACATGCACAAACTGCATCCTAAAAAAGCCCCCTGCGGCCTTACCGAAGAAAGTTGCTGTCCCGGCCAGTTCCGCTACTCACCGATGGTGGTGAACACGGTGCCGCAATAGAACATGGCGCCCCAGAAGGTCCACAGCTCGCGCTCGGAGTCCGTCGTGATGCCGGCCTGGCAAAGCAGCCTCATCTGGGCCTCGTACTCGAAAAGCCGGCGCTGCGCGAGCTTCTTCCAGCGGGCCTCGTCCCCGCACTCGCGGTACAGGTCATCCACGACTCGGCGGCGGACGGCGCGCAGGCCGTCCTTGGCCCGGTGCTCGTAGGGTCCCTCCAGGAGCCGGAACACCAGGGCCCCCGACAGGGCGTAGGCGACCAGAAAGAGGAAGAGCAGGACGTGCGTGAACCATTTCTGCGAGACCCCGTGGAGGCGCTGCGCCAGGCGTACGCCCCACGAGCGCTCCGAGAGCGACACGATGTGCATGGGGCTGACGAGCAGAAAGGCGCCCGGCGGCCGTGCGTCGGGAGCGTGCGGCTCGCTCGTGGCTGCTCGGGCTCCGGCGTCCGCCATCGGCGCCGGCTGCCGAACATGTGGGTCCGTGGGTGGCCGATCGCCCGGACCACCTGAGGCGACCGACCAAGATAGCTGCGGGAGCGACGCCGCCGACCCTCGCAATATTTAGCGCGCCGGGAGAAGCAGACGGCCAAGATGGCTGACCCCGCGGGCGGCGACGCTTGTGGCAGGCTCGGGATCGCGGCCTTGGAGGTTTTGGCCGGGATAGGGAGCCGGCCCGTTGTACCGGATGGGAGGTTGTCGCAAAGTTGGTGGAACAGTGCGGAATTGTCCTTAACGGTAGGGCGCCTGTAACGCGTTTCCAACCGGTGTGCGTGGCCTTGACGAACTATTAGCGTTCCACCACGGCTTTTCGAATACTTTCACGGCTTCGATTTTATACCGCCAGGCGCTGTGACTACTTGATTCGCTCGAGAAGGCTGTCGAGCGAACCTGCCGCCACAGCTTTCTGCCCTAGCCACTAGGGGCCGTTGATTTCGCTGGAGTCGCCAATGCCGCCGAAACATCGGTGTGCCCCACAACGCCGGGTAACAAGACGTCTTGATTTCACCGGGACAGTGTCGTTTTAGACGTAGATCCCGTCTTTTTGTCTCAAGGAATCATGCCTTTTTCGTGGAAACATGTATAGTAGCAAAATAAGTACTAACCAAGTTGAAAAAAAAAAAACGAAATAATTTTTGTTTGGTACGTAAGTAACTTTATAAGAATAAAAATACTATAAAAATATATTACCTCCCACAGGCTGCAGATTTGAGCTTTTTCTGTGGTTACATCTGCCAATATATTTTTTTAATTATTTTCAAATAGACGTGTGCACGGGAGGGATGCCTCATTCGCAACATACTTTTCCCAGTGCTTAAAAAGGGGAAAGAACGGAGCTGCAGTTCTCAACGAAGAACGCCTTCGTTTTTATGTTGAATTGAATAGTAGCGGAGCAGTTCTTCCCATCCTTCACTTACCCCCCCCCCCCCCCCCCCCCCCCCCCCAAAGTCCAGTTTTACACTTTGATGGAAATGATCAACCTACCTTGACATGATGACGACTTAAGTTCCGGGAGCCGGCGCCTCATGGTACACGTGGTAATGTCGTAAGAAATGGAACTGGTGCTATTCGGGACTGCAGCTAACGAGTCAAACATTTATTTCCAGGTGCACAGGAGGAATTCCCAAACAAGAAGTTGGTGGACAAGGTCTCAGATCCCTCTACTAAAATAGAAACTTCGAGAAAAAAATTTTTTTTTTATAGATGCGTGTAGTGTTTTTTTTTATGTGAATACAAACAAATCTCAAATAAATCACACTAAATGAAATACTGTCACAAATGGCAGACAGATAGACGGTTAGTAGACTAGAAAACTAAGCGTTCAATAGGGCATACTTGGGCCCCAAATAAAACCAGACATACAGGCGTCGCGGGCGTCGAAAACGGCGTTCTAGATCGAGTGCTGGCGAAAGGCTGTCTTTGCACCGCGCGCCACAGCCTCTCTTAATGCTTCCCTCGAAGCCTAGGACATTTGACCTCGATTGTTTTGGAACTATGCATTGGGAGTTGGAAGAAACTACATGATTCTCAAACATTCTAGAATCTTCTCATAAATTAGGGAACAATAATAAAAACAGGCGAAAGCAGGGCATGAACCCCGGCGTACGAGCCGACTCAGCTACGCCGACTTGGCTACGCAGGCGGCGTTTCAAACCCCCCCCCCCCCCCCCCCCCCCCCCGCCCCTCCTTCTTTAAAAGATGCATCCTACCGATGATAAATAACACAAAACCAGTCACAACGATAAACAAAACAGTGCGAAATCCGCAATCCTAGAGCGCGTGGTATGGCTTCAGTCGCACGTGCGACTGAAGCCATACTACACGCGCTAGGATTGTGTACTTCGTACGACGCACACTACCTCTGGTCGCAGTCGGCGTCGTGATGATGCTTGTATTCCGTCAGGCACCACTTCGTTGTTGAGCACCCCCAGGCAGTGCTTAAAGTCTCCCGTAAGTTGGGGGGGGGGGGGGGGGGGGGCTACAGGAAGGTTGGGGGGGTTCTGATGAGATGTACTGGATGCACATAAAATAAGCCCTACTGCTGACTCTGCCAACGCTGTACCTGCAACCCTCAAGTTGATAATCACCAAATGTCACATCCCCGAAAACAAGCTATTTTATTGCAAGATATGATTTTGATTTCACTAATGCTGGGGCTGTTGAGGAGGGTCTCAGACCATCCGTTAAAATCAGTGTGTGTGTGTGTGGGGGGGGGGGGGGGGGGGGGTCTGAGACCCTCTGAGACCCCCCAGACTTTAAGCCCTGCCCTAGGTGACGAAGTATCTTGTAGGGTCCGAAGCAGCGCTTCAGAAGCTTCTCGCTGAGTTCACGGTGTCGTATCGGAGTCCAGACCCATACCTGATCTTCTGTCTGGAAGCGGACGCGTCTCGACGACGGAGGCTGTACCGGTGAGCATCGATGCATTGTTGGTCCTGAATTCGAAGTCGGGAGAGCTGACGGACTTCTTCGGCTCGTTAAGCTACTAGCTGGGCGTCGTCGACCCCGTCGTTGGCTGGCTTGTGGGGCAACATCGAGTCGCGCATGGAATCTTTCGGCTGCACACCAGCTGGGAGGGTGGAGTCTCTTGCACCGCCGTGTTGTAGGCAAAAGTTCTCCAGACCCCGGCCCGCGGGTCAAGTCAGGCCCGCGGAGGTCTTCCGACCGGACCATGGTCGACCGCGGTCCTTCCAATGAAACCCGGCTCGCGGCCTGCTTTCAGCGGACCCGCTGCTACAGGCACAAAAATGAGCGTGCTTAAAGAAACGGCGACGCAACGCGTGTACCAACCGCGTAAACAAAAATACCAGAAGAAAAAAAAAAGGGAAAACTGCCTATTGAAAGGCGTGTTTTCTTTTATATTCCTTTTACATGCTTATCTAGGATTAGTTATTTAGATATTCTACATTGAGTTTTCTTACTATTTGTTTTTGGGCCGTCGTGACAGCGAGACAGTACCTCATTCGGCTCCTTAGCCAAAAAAGTCTGGAGACCCTTGTTGTAGGCAAACGTGACGTAGGGCAACACCTCACCCCCTTTTATTGTGCCGTACGTCGACGTACTTGAAGATCAAGTCGACGATGGTCTTCTTGAGTCGCTCCGTCAGCCGGTTGGTCTGCGGGTGATACGCTGTGGTGCGACGATGGCTCATGTGACTGAGAGGAAGAATTTCCTGGGTCAGCTGCGCTAAAAACGACGACCCGCGTTCTGTAATTAAAACTTCGGGAGTACCGTGCCTAAGGACGAGGGACTCGATGAAAAACCTGGCGACTTCAACCGCCGTTTACGACGGAAGGGCTTTGGTTTCAGCGTATCGTGTAAGAATATCCGTGGCGACGATTATCCACCGGTTCCCTTGCATCAATGGTGGGAACAGTCCAAGCAAGTCTATTACGATTTCTTGAAGCGGGAAGTTGACGGCGGAATCGGCTAAAGTCCTGACGGCTTCGTCGGCGGTTTCTTACGTCGTTGGCATTTTGTTTGTTTATTATTATTTTTTTTTACATAGAGACCTGCATCGCCTTTTGGCATTATAGCAGGGGTGAGTACATGAGATACATTGAATTCTAACAAAAACATTGAAGCACAAACAAACTTGTATATACGTTAAACACATCCTTCAATAGCCAACCTATTCCATTTCTGAAGTTTTTGAAAAAAAAGAAAACGCAAAAACATCAGTACGTCGAAAGTAGGGTCGGATTTTGTTCTGGTGGTCCGCCCTTCCCGATATATAAAAAGGTTCGTGTAAAAACATTTCTCGACTGATTAAGAGTTAACTGTTATATATATCATCTAAAAACTTCAACCTACACATTTTCTGCGTTCGACCAGTGATTCCCCTTTAAATTATTCTTCATGGTGGTGACACTTGCCCCGCGTTGGTAATCATTTAAAACAAATCTAGCACACTGATTTTGAATTTTTTTCTAGTTTTTTTTATTAGGTTATTGTGGTGGGGATCCCACACAACTGCTGCATATTCAAAACAGGGGCGAATAAACGTAAAGTACAAAGTTGCTTTAATTTTGCTGAACCCTGTCGAAAATTTCGTCGTATAAAATTAAGCATGCATACAGCCTTGAGAGTTATCATTTCCACATGAGTTTTGCACGTTAAATCGCTAGACAGAATTACACCCAAGTATTTTACGCTTGAGTTAGCCTAAATTATTTCAATATTTATTATCTAGGTTGTACCAATGGGGCTTTTCTTTCGAGTAAATCTCACGTGAACACATTTTTTAACGTTCAGATTCATTTTCCAATAGATGCACCACATTGAAATATTGTCGAGATCAGCCTGTAAGAAATTTACGTCATTCGAATACTTAATTACTCTATAAATAATACAGTCGCCTGCAAATAGTCTTATATTTGATTGTATTCCATTAATCATATCATTTATATATACCAAGAAGAGCAAAGGTCCCAGAACAGAACCCTGGGGCACACCAGATGTAAAACACCAACGTAATCGGACTTCTCACCATTTAGCACAACGCACTGCTTTCGTTCTCTCAGATAGTCCTGAAGCCAACCTAAAACATTATTATCAATGACAAGTAAGGCAAGTTTGTAATTTAACAATTCATGGTTTACGAGATCTAAGGCTTTTTTGAAGTCTAAAAACTAACAGTCTACTTCATGTCCAGTATCCATGGCGCTTGCCAAAAAGTGAAAAACGTCAACAAGCACAGTCACACAGGATGCTCCAGATCGAAACCCATGCTGATCTCGGAGAAGGAAATTATCTATGTTCAAGTGTGTAATAATAATACTATATATGACGTGCTCCATAAGTTTGCAGCATATGCATGTTTAGAGAAATAGGTCGGTAATTTTCCACGCAGTTCTTGGATCCTGATTTGTGAATTGGTACAACTTTTGCGATTTTCCAGTCTGTTGGAAGCTTTTGATCCCTTAATGGTTTGTTGTAAAGCACACATAAATAGTTTGCTATCTCCACAGAACAATTCTTTAATATAAGTGGGGAAATATTATCAGACCCAGATGATTTCTTTACATCAAGATCTCTTAGTAATAAAGGTACACCGTTGTACGTCATATCTACGGGTGACATCGCGTGTTCCATTACAGATCGTACAGTAGGGTAACAGATCGTCTTAGTAGCCTTCGAAAAGCAGATTCAAAGTAATTATTTGGATATGTAGCTTTGTTTTTCTTGTCCACTATCAAAGTAATTATTTAGATATGTAGCTTTGTTTTTCTCGTCCACTATTCGCGGCATGATCGGCTGTGGAGATAAACGGTCTTCCGAAGCTTGGGGCAGTAGTACTTTTCACAAATTCTGAAAAGTGTCCTGCTTGACCCGAGATGCCCCGCCGTCGGGTCGTCGTGACATCTTGGAAGACTTGTTCTCGAAGGCTAAAAGGAATAACCGACAGCCACGCTGTGTT